CTGCCCTCCCTCTCAAAAACGATTCAACGTATGAAAAAATGTTTGAAACAAAAGTTGTAGAGAATTCAATTCTCTACAATATTAATAATAAATACAATCAGCATAAAACCCATTGGAAACGAGATATTGGCAAAAAACTTGCAAAAAGTAGGTTTTTTTACTTTTGACCCCCAATGTTTGAAGTTGCGGCCGTCGAATCATATGTGAATTTTGAGAATACTTTTATGATGCCAAAATAGAAAGTTTATATAAATTTACAGCTATTTTCCGACCACTATCTCTATTTATCACCATTTTCAACTTATGAACTAGACTAACGGTTCTAAATAAATAAGGGATGAACATTTCTATCGCTTCCTTTCAGAAACCACTTTCATATAAGTGAAGATAAAAACGGGTACCTGCTTCTCGAAAAGGTCCCAGTCGTTGCCAGTCTCTCGAGGCCTGTGGTTTCCTTCAAAATCACCAAAAATAGTGCAATACCATTCAAGGCCGCACAATGGACCCTAGAAGAAAACTTCTGGCCGCTATAGGAAAGTGTCAATTCGATAGTGACCCCGATGCGAACAAATTGTTCGTTACCCACATTCAGGGAATAGCGAAGAGAGCGTATATACGCCAACATTTTAACCAATACGGACGCGTTAGACGGGTACAGCTGGGTTTTGACAGAAGCACTGGAAATTTCAAAGGATACGCCTTCGTTCAGTTCGAGTTAGCTGAAGATCTGGATAATGCTTTGGCAGCGGAAGAGCATATAATCCAAGGACATAAAGTTATAGTCGCTAAAGTAGTTCCCAGACCACCCGAGGATGTCGATGTCACATCCTTATGTGACCAATTTGAGGAAAAATTGTGATACGTTTGTGAGTCCACCATTCTTCAGAGTTTACTTTTTGTTCATATATTTGTGAGAATATAATAGTTTCTGGGTAATATAATCTCATATATTATTTCGCCTTTATTTAATTGCTATAATCACATTTTGTATTTGAAGAATTCCTGAAGACGTAATAACTCTTGATATTCACAATCTTTTCATTGAACAGTCATTCGAAAACATTCATTATGTAGTTCATAGTGTAGTTCACAACTGCCATTACGAAAATTTCAGTTCACCGCCTCAAAAAATCATGATTGAGGTGTCAGTCGATTCCTAATTAAACCCACAACAATTCGAGCAAATAGTCCAGTCAAATTAGACCAAAAAATTAAAGTAAAGCTACCTTAATTCTCACCAAGCTGAAAATCAGTAAGCTTGTTTAAAATACGGTTAAAAATAAAATTTGAAAGTTCCCCATCTTTCCCCTGTATGGAAAAAAATGTATTCAAGGTCAAATGTCAAAAAATTAGTTTTTTGCGATTTTCAGCAAAACGGTAAGTTTTATTATAAAAATACTTCAAACAAAAATTATAGACCATACAATTATCTACAAAAACGGTTTCGATACTGTTTTTTCTACGAGCAACCGTTTNCCCACTTCTCAAAAAATTAATGATTACAATTCTATCATTTCCCCAACGAAAATATTTTCTTAGCCTTTAATGAATAACCACAAGAAAGAAAATAATGTAGGCTTCAATTTTGAATATCATCAATTGAAGCAGTTGATATACAATCATTAAAAGTATGTCAGAAATATTTTTCAGCTTTGTTGGCCGAGGTCTACAGGTTTGTAAGCCTGACCTTTAATCTACTACTACGGTAGACATATGAGGTAGACATATATGATTGATATTCCGGAGAGGTGCATTATGACATGCTCAAGGTTGCCCCTTTCCTCTTATGCAGACCTACGACTTTGTATGTACATGTGGCAGATACCCAATGGAAAAACAACAACTGACCCAGCTAATGTCGCGCAGAGAGTTGAAGTAAAACCATCAGGCACCTGTGTAACGTCTTCGATTTGGAAGATTCGTCGCAAGTAATTTCCCACCTTGAAAAGCAGAAATTAATTTCATTTGGTCGATACGACCAACCCATAGACCGGTACTTGCTTGTGATACTCAGACGGTTCACTTCATTCTGAAGAGACTATAGTTGTCCTCACAACAGATACCTAATTTAAGGTTAGAACCTCGGGTTTGTCCCACTCAATTGGTTAATAGATCCCCAAAACTTGCCTTCTAGCAATAAAATTCTGCATAAAAATGATGCCTGGATCAACAGAATGTTCATTTTTCCATTTTGAATATACAGATGTGCACAAATTATATTATTGTTTGTGACCCTCGTATTTCAATCGAAGTAACTGATATATCGAAAATTATATTTTGTTTGTTCAATTTTATACATCGTTCATATTTCATTTCAGTGTGAACCCTTCACAAGTGGGAAGCATGAAAAACAAGTTATGCAATTCATTCCACCATTAAAAAGAAAATATTGAATTCAGCTGTTATGTTTGTGATTGTTGGTTCATTTGTTTGAGGGTTTCCAAGCGATGCAACATCATTCGATTGTATGTTCGTTACTATTTGGCAAATCTAGCTATGCATCTTATGCGCGAACGATAGAGCTAAATTGTGACTGTCAACTACCAACTTTCATCGGAAAGTACAATCGGGAAAAGAATTTTGGCACCAAAAGTAGTTTATGATTCACACAATCGAAAGCCTCAGAAAAGTCGCAGAAAACTGCAGCTACAGCTTTTCTCAATTTTCATTGTTCATGTAGACAAGCTGAAGAAAATAAGAAATTGCATAATTAGTGCCTCTTGAGCTCTAAAAACCAAATTTTGTGTTTGTAATATTTTATTTTCATTCAAAGAGTTCTTCTATGATTTTCGATAGAGCAAAAAAATAAATATGGCAGCAATAATTTCACTATAATGTTCATCATTTATTCATTTATAATAAACAATATCATTTATAATGAACCTTCCAAAATCTGAAAAATAAACAAAATTACATCATCAGAGAATCTGCTAAAGTGTAGTTATGGGCAAGCTAAAAACTCTTCGCTGAAAAAAGACTAATTAATCAATAACCCATATTTACAAATTTTGCATACTGTTGTAAATCATGCCCGAAAGAAAATAACGCCGGCCGCCGTTGGTAGCCATAAACCAGGCGTGACGTGGCTGAGAGCGCACGAGTGTACGATGATTTCCCGCCACTCTAGAAGCAGCAAGAATAATGCTGCCGATTTCGGCGGAACTTTGGCGAAATTTCTACGGCATTCGATTACGATATTTGAAGTCTATCCACGAGGATATCGACACAGTCAAGTGGAAGCTACAGTGCGGTACGCGAAGTGGTCCAGTAAGGCGATAAACATTCAAATAATAGTTGAAGTTTTAGTTGAAGTGTTTGTTGTATTTAAAGTGAAATAGAGTTCTCTCAACTTTTAATGTCTTGAAACTTGAATTAATATTTGTTGTTCCGCATGAAACGCACTAATTGAGTGCAGAGAGTCAGCAACAAAATAAAAAGTGAAAGTCGAAAGAGTTTTTGAATTATTATTCAGCATCCCTAAATTCACCCACCTGACGATCGATTTTCCCTTCATATCGTCCAACCCGAGTTAGGAATCACACGTTAAAAAGTAAGACCTCGTTAGTCCTTAGCTCGCACAAGTTTCGACTTTTGAGAGTTGTCGTTCGTAGGGGAGCGTAAACATAAGCGGGGAACATAAACACTGAAGTTCGAGATGTACTGAGTTGAACCTCAAAACGATGAGCAGCTACAGTCCATCACGTATTTCTTATATGTACCGGTCTCGATGGAATCAAATGTGCCAAGTCACTTGAACACTTCCCGTGAAAGTATCTACAGAAGAAAGACAAATTTTTGATGTTCCAGACTATCAAGGTTGCCCGTGAAGCTCGTGGATGGCTCTTTTCTGGATGGAATTCAGCAGTTCCAGGGTATGTTTGGGGGCGGAGCCCCATACATGAGAATAATACTCCGAAGAAGATCAAATCTGAGCTTTATAAAGCATCAAAAGTTGCTGGAATGTATACAGTTTTCTGGTTCAGAACACTGTTCCAAGCTTTCGAGAAGGAGCCTTTGCATTTCCAGCGACATGATCGAATCAAGACATATTGGTATCTATTTTAACACCCAACAAACTTATATAAGCAGAAAGCGAAATTGTCTGACCTGAGATTGTTGTATTCGGTTCAGAAACATTTATCTTTTTGGAGAAGATGTGCCGGTGAAGATGTGCATCCGCAGCCGATGTCCTGGAATCCAAATGTAATGACTAGACAAGCGTGCTGTCGTCAGTAAACCAATACATTGGATTTTTTTTTCCAATAAGTCGTTGATAATCAATAGAAAGAGAGTCAGAGACAATATGGATCCCTGGGGAATAGCATTGATGGTGAAAATATTCGACAGATATCCATCAACGGCCACTTGCAGGAAATGTTCTTCCAGGAAGCTGCAGAGCCATACACAAAAGTGATCCGAAAAGCCATAGCATTGAAGTTTGGTCATCAAACCCTCATGCCACACACGGTCAAAGGCCTCAGAAATATCGAGCGTAACAGCTCTTGACTCTCCATGTTTGAAATATGTTTGAAGGTCGCCTGTTGATCTTTGTTTCCGAAAGCCATATTGATGATCTCTCACGATGTTGAAACCTTCCAAATATTTGAGGTGGTTTACGCCTTTCTCCATGATTTGTGATATCACTAATAGTAAAGCGAATGGTCTATAGTTATTTGGAAGAATTTTCTTGCCCTTTTTGGGAGTAGGCTGAAGGCGAGCAATCTTCCAACAAGAAGGAAAACCCCTTTTCTTGTAAGACAGAAAACCCCTTTTCTGCAAAGTACTGGTGCGAGTTTATTTGCGCACTTTTTAAGTAAGATGATGGGCACTTCATCAGGACCAGATGCCTTGATGATATTGAGCTGCTTCAAAATTCGCCTGACTAGACGCTGTTGAAAAGTAATTTCCGGCATTGTGGATCCTAGTGTGGAAATAGTGGTTGATGCCTTTCCCAGAAAATTGACTGCAAATTGTTCAGCTAGTAGATTTGCTTTTTCTACGGGTGTTGCAATTGAACAATCCGCTTTTGTCAGTGGTGGAATTATGGATTCTGGTAAAATTTTGATTAACAGCTCTAGCTACCGGCCAGAAAGATCTAGACCCTTTGGGATTGGAAAGCAAGAGAGGTAGGACTTTTTTATGAAAGTTCCTCCTCTTTAAAGATCTTTCTTTAAAGGAAGAGGGGTTTTGGCTTTTTACCTCTCCATATTTACACAAAAAAGTGAAAATCTTCCGAAGAAAAAAAAGTAATCATTTTTAAAAAAGGGAACTAATACAAAGATGTGTAGATCAGACAAAGAAGTAACTTCCAGACTTTTCACAGACGACACCGGAACCTTCATTTTCACATATTTCGCTACCACAGTAGCTTTTCTCAGTGGATAACATAATGTTATCAACTGAGAAAAAGCTACTGTGATAGCGAAACATGTGAAATTTTTGAAAATGAAGTTTGTGAAGATCAAAGC